AGAACAACACAACTTTAGCAACAAACCTAGAAAAATAAACAAACTACAAAAATAATGACCCATACATAAACATAAAATAAAACAGAAATTTTAGAACACAACCACTCACCAAGAAAAGAACTCACATGCAATCTCAAAAGAACTACACGGAACACAACAAATACAAAATTGCTGAGAATGAGCAATTATGAGAGAGCTTATCACCATGGTAGTGCTATGAGGAAGAGTGAGCTACACAATGAGCTTAAAGGCATTGCTGGTGGTTGGAGTGTGTAAGGAATTTTGTAAACTCAAGGAAGGTGAAAACAATGGTTGAAAAAGTAGATTTGGGGTAGAAGAGCTTCATCAATAATACATACTAGAAGGAAATAAAGGGTGTTGTGCATGGGAGTAAAGTGAAGAGGAAGGAGATGATGTTGTGCACAGAAAAAGAGTAAAGTGAAGTGAGAATAAAGCTTTCGAGCTTTACTATGGTGTTTGTGTATAGAAACCTAGTTTGGGTGTTAAAATAGCATTGTTATCATGACATATGAGATTATATATGGCATTTGGTGAAAATATGCCCATAATATACCAAAGTATATTTATCTAGACCAAAATTTGTGTTACTTCAGGAAGCTCCCATGGACATTTGAGTGTCACTCATAGAGAATTTGGTAGTAGCACAAATGGATTTAGTAGTTCAATTCTTAGGATTATTCCTATATTTGTTGTAATTGGTAAGTGAAATACAACTCTAAGATTTAGAGTATCTCTAATTTTGAGAAATATAGGATTTAGTGATTTAAGTATGGAAGGACAAAATTGATTAATTTGACAACTTTTGCCGTTATATAGTTCTTTAGTTTTAATTTTGTGAGACCTATGTAAGAAAATAAAAATAAGAATCTACATGTAAATAATTTTAAATTATTATTATTAGTAAAATTCCTTCAGCACCCACCAAAAAAAAAAAGTCATAAAAAAAAGTGTGTTAATTATTATTGAAAAAACATCAAAATTTACATTACAAAAAATAGATGTATTTTAAGAAATATAGTGTTCAACAATATGTATTAGTTAAAATTAATAAATATGAAGTATAATAATTTTAAAAATTTTAAAAACACTACTAATATAATTATAAAATGTGTGTCAATTATTATTAAATGTCAAAATCAAAATGCACATAAAAAAAATTTAGAATTTACATAACAAGAAAAAAATAAGACAAGTTTTTTTAGGGATATAGTTTCATTACTAAAAGTTTAGATATATGGTTTAGGCATGTGAAAGAACCTATATTGTGGATATGATTTTAAATTTTATTAATAATTATTTTCTCTTCCAAAGGCATAACATGTACATGGAAGACAATTTTTTTATATGTAATATAGAATTAACTTTGTTTGAAGTAATAGATGTATTTTAAGGAAAATTACCTAGTTATATGCAATAATAAAAAATATATTAATTTTAAAAATTTAAGAAACATTAATGATACAATCAAAGTTATGTCAATGAAGTTAAAATATACCTAAAATTAAAAATATTATAATTTGTATGACAAAAGTAGAAGACAATTTCTTTGGTTTTTCAGTATATAGAAGATAATTTTTTTTATATGTGATATATATAGTTGACTTTTATTATAAGTGATAGATGTTTTAAGAAATTTATTACTAAGATATATTCATGAGTTAAAAAATATAAATATGAAGTAAATAGTTTTAAAAATTTAAGAAGTATAAATACTATTTGGATTCTCAATTCTACTATTCATTTTCATTACACCATATCCTTTATTGTGATTAGTCATTTTCCTTTTTCTATCTTAGTCACGTGATGTCTTTCTGGTTGTCGTTTGTCTTACCACAAATGTTGCTCTTTTCGTCTGGACCTTCTCTTTTAGTTTTGACCCTTCATTGCTTAAATCATAGCTATATAGGTGATTGTTTCTTCAACCTTTATACATTCTTTATTAAAATGTAAATGTTTCTCATCATAGATGGAATTGGCAACTCGTGACAAGTTGTATCCTCGTGTTGTTAAGTGTATTTTTATATGGTATATTCCAAATAAAAAGGGTTGTAAATACTTTCACTTCAAGAAATATTTTATTATTTGGAGCCTTAATAGATTATGAATATGGTGAAGACACACAATTTGTTTTCAAATTAAAATCATAACATCTATGAATATGTGCATTAGCATTTTTTAAAAAATAAAAAAAGTAGGAGCAATCTTGAGTGCTTTGTTAGTTAGATACAATAAAGAGTTTGTAAGAAAATTTTTAAATCTGTAGTTTTGGGTTCACACTTTGAAGATTTTGAATTTAGTCTATAGTACTCTATAATGCTACAATTTTAATAAGAGAGTTTATTTAGAATTGACATTCTCCTTTATATATAATTATTATTTGATAGATTGAATTATATTTTGAGATTCTTCATAATTATGTTGTGCACACTTATGCATATATTCATAAAGTATAATAGACACTCAAGGTGTATTTAACTCTTATTTCCTAAGAAGTGATATCACAATCTCTTCATTTCAAGATATTAATACAAAATTTAAAATTAAAAAAAAATTAAAGGTTCTGACAACTTTATGTTATGGAAATTAAAGCTACAAATATTGTTAGACCAACAATGTTTAACAAAGGCATTGGAAAGTGAAGACAAGTGAATCTTAGATTTTGGCACATTTTTACATAACTCTAAATAGATAATTTTTTCTTCTCGTGCCATAAGTGAAAAAGGAAAAAGAAGGTTGGAAGACAATAAGATAATTACAGTTACATATGAAAGAGAGGTACAAGTTATATTAGATGATGGTACTAAAAGGAAGTTTTGAGTTTGCATGTACCAAATTTGAGAAGGAATATAATATCTTTGAGTGCCCTAGACAATCAAGAGTATATATATGTTCTTTGGAGAAGTTAGTTTCTTAAAAGTGACTCAAGACTTAATGGTGGTGATGAAAAAAAGAGGAATTTATATATTGATAGAATGCACAATTCTTGAGATTGTTGTTGTTTTATCTTTTAAAAGATCATATGATGATGTCACATTATTGTGGCACATATGACTTAAACATTTGATTGAAAAGGGAATGAAAATACTAGGTGATAAAAATAACTGTAAGCTTATTTTATGTGAGAATTATGTACTTGAAAAAAATTAAATGAGTGAAGTTTGGATATACAAAACATAAAAGTAAAAAAAATAAAAGTATATTTACTTACATGTTTTAAGTTGCACTTACCCTTATTAATTACTTTTCACAATCATTTTATGTTTGCTTTCACTCACATTCACAAAGTATAATAAACACTTAGAATGTAATTAGCTCTCTTTTCCTTTCCAGTTTCTCATATACTACATGATGCTTTCAAAATTAAATACGATTTATAAAAATGAGTTTATAATTTTATTATTAATAATAAATATTTTTAAAATAAAATAAGAATATATTAAAAAAATACAATGAGAAGAAATTTAGATAAAATATGTCATCTTTATTGATAAAATATATTATATTTTAAAATTTAAATTAGGATTGATTAGCATTGTAATAATAAAAAAAATTAATTTATCCAAAAATAAAATATTTTTATTTTATTTTTATATAAGATTAAAAATTTTAAATAAATTTAATAAATAATATTTGAAAAAATAAAATTATAAATACAAAATAAAATTATAATAAAATCAAGACTTTTGTGGGTGCATGATACTTGCACTAAAATAAATAGTGATAGAATTAAACTTTTGTAACTACATGATACATGTACTTACACTCTTCTACACATTCATAAGTGTTGAATATTTGTTACAAAAATAAATAGTGGAAGAAATTAGACTTCTTAAGGAAATAATACTCTTACTTAGAGTTTATCATAAATCCATAATCCATAAATATATGATACTTGTACCTATAATTTTAATAACCGTCACTTAAATAAATAGTGATCAAATTAAACGTGTGTGAAATTTAATGTTTATACGTACAATTTTAACAGTTGTGACTGAAAAATATGATGTTTTTCTGTTTTAATTCGTGAAATGCATTATAATTAATTTTGTATTTATCTTTAAATGCATGTCAAGTAAATTGAAGTCAAAATACATTCAACTCAGTGCATGAAATAATTAATTTACGGGTGGGTTACACTATTTAATTCGTGAAATGCATTTTATCCAAAATAAAATATTTGGCACATTAAATTTATGGCATGAGACTAACTTTATATATAATAATATCAAACTGAAGTGATTGTCTATATTAATTAATTAATAAATAATAATAATAATAATAATAAAGAATTTATGAAATGTTCTAGACGAGAGTATGGAATGTATAAACGTATTCTGAAAAGTCAACTGGAGGGTGTTGACTCTCTTTATGATATAAGACTTGGTAGCTAACAACAATAATATTCTTTTCATTTTGGGCCGCTCATTGACTGGGCATTTAGCAGCAACATCTAGACTTAGCAATGCAAACTAACACCCAATAATAAATACATACATGCGAAACCACACCGAACCCTCAACTTTAATTAATATAAAATATAAAAATTATGTAATTCTTATTTTTTTATTTTTAATAAATTTTAATAATAAAAAATACTCTTTATAAATTATAAGTGATAGAATTTAGTACTTTTTTACACATAAAATAATAATTATCATTAATTTTATATTAATAAAAATAGAGTCAGTAGTTTAATTAAAAAATATTAAAAAATCACTATAATTAATTTTAAAAAATATATAATATCTTCTTGGTTGGCAACATCCCTTCATGTTTATATATTTACTTTCTTTCGCTGTCGAACAGATCCATCGAGCAATGCGACAATTACGCGCTTTATAAACGGATTCGCAATCTGTATAGTTTGATATATCTCCACTCTTTCTCTGCATTTGTTCTATTTATTCTCCAATAAAACTTTGTTATACAGTGGCTGGCTTATTGCTATATAATAGATCCTTCATCTCCTTTTCTTGTTTTCAAAATTTCATCTCTTTCTGAGAGTAGAAATTGAAGTAAAGTGTTTGAGATCAGAAATGGTTTGCTTGGCATCTCGAACGGGAAGAGATTTGCAGAGATACAACACTTCTGGTGGCCGCCAAGTTGTGGGGTCAGTTCATTTCACGCTCCTCTTCCAAACCAGTTATCTTTGGCTTTCTTTCTTCGTTAGATAATTAAAAGTTCTATACTGCTGATTTAATAATAAATACAAATTTTAAATGTAGTTTGTTTTCAATGTCTTTTGTTTATGTTTATTAATAAACTAAAGTTTCAGATGATAGCATGAAATGCGTACAATTTATTACAACAAATTCTAATTTTTATTTAGTAAACATTATTAAAACCGAACACTGAATCAAACATTCGATAAATTTCGTCCAAACAATAAATGTTGACTAGATTTTTTCTTGCGGGTTTGTGTCGATGGTGATTTGATTATTTGGTGTGTCTGGTTAATTTGTAGATTGTAGAGTTTCTTATATTTGGGCTCAGTCCCTCCATTATTGCACCCTTCATTGCTTTTGGATATTCGTTGACTCAAACTTATGCCTAACTGTGCAGGTGCATCCCTTACAGATATAAAGAAGATACTGACGGCAATGTTAGCAATGAATTGGAGGTACTTGTTGTTAGTTCACAAAAAGGTCAAGCATTAATGTTCCCTAAGGTACTTCAATTTCTTGTACATATCGATTAGGGACGAGAATATAATCCAAACTCAAACTTAATAGATACTAGAAATAAAATTATTCACTAAATAAACACTATGGATTTGGATATTTTGATATTAATTCATCCTGTACTTATATATTTTTAATTATATTATATTAAAATTAGACATATAATCTTAATTTTTATTTTTATTTTTCAAACAATATATATATATATATATATATATATATATATATTACAATCAATATTAATAAATAAATTTTAGTATGTTTTAGAGAGTACAACTATTGGAAATATAAGCTCATGAAGTAATTAATTTATTGCATTTAAAGTTTGCATTAAATTTAATTAAATACTTTTGTTTGGTATATTTTATATTTAGGATATAAAATAATATTTTGGTTTAATTTGAGTGCAAATAATGGGTTTGAATATAAGTATTTAAGTGCCATAAAACATAGATATGTAGAGATTAAAATTGCTACTAGCTAGTTCTGAGATAAGTAATATTTTAAAATATAGATTCAAGAAGGGATACGATGATATCATACCCAAATATGTTTAACATTAACATCCAATTTGTTTGACTCAGGGAGGGTGGGAACTTGATGAATCTGTAGAAGAAGCAGCATGCAGGGAATCCCTTGAAGAAGCAGGAGTTATAGGAATCATTGAGGTATTGGATATTTCAAAATTTGAGTACATTAGGCACCTTTTATTTGAATTCAATCTTTTCTCTCTGCTAGTTTTTCTCTTCTTCTTATAATTCTATTACTGTCAAATGAGTTTAAAAACAAAACTAAAAATTTGGTTTCATTTCATATGGCAGCATGAATTGGGGCAATGGAGCTTCATTAGCAAGAGACATGGCACGTACTATGAAGGGCACATGTTTCCTTTGCTTGTCAAGGAACAACTTGACTCCTGGCCTGAGAAGGATCTACGGAGAAGAATATGGGTATGTCTAAGAGTTATTACTATATTGTTTAACTAATGTCACTTTCAAGAAGGACAATGCTAGTGAAACACTTTTTTTTTTTTTTTTTAAATATCCTCATTATTGTTGATTCATTTTCTTCATTGTCAAGTTTCCTTGTAACATGCCATTCTTTTAATTAATGCATTAACTTTTTATAGAATGAAATATAAAAAAAAGGGTTAATGTATTTGAAAAAATATATTATTCACATTTTTCCTTTTTAAATGAGTATATATATGAAGAAAAAACGTGTTACTTTAAATTGTAATTAGAGTTAAAATGAGAGTTGTAGTTGTATACTGAGTTGCCCCAAATTGTGACTGTTGCAAATATAATTAAGATCTCTCTCTCACTCTTTATATATAGTTTTGAAAACCTCAAACAACACTATGATTGTTGTTGCATGTTGAAGATTGCACCTTGGTTTGGATGTGGAGTAAATTAGGTACACATTAGTAATAAATATAAATTACAGTCACAAAATTTACTTATTTTCTTTGATAATCACTTGACGCAGATGAATGTTGCTGAAGCCCGAGAAGTATGTCAGCATTGGTGGATGAAAGAAGCATTAGACATTCTTGTTAAACGCCTCTCTTTACAGAAAAATACATAGGAACACAAAGAACTAATTGTTAGCTGCAATTTCATTCTGTAGATAGGATTTTCTCAACGTTTTGAAACTCTAGTTCAGATTCGCAAAATATTATAGAGCATTTAAACAATCTTCTCATTTAAACATTCAAAATGAAATTTTTAACGCTGTGAACTTTGCTGCTGCCCAAGTCATGCAATGATTGATGAAGCACAAGTTATCAAATTATTCAAAAGCTCCCCACTTGTGCCAACTATTTTGTCATTATGTTACCGGTACCTGCAGCTATATTTATTTTGATCGAATGGATTGTGTTTTGTCTTAGATCTACCTACTACCTTTTTTACCTGAACTGGTTTAGTTTGAAAACATTAAAAAAAAAAAAATTTGCAAACAAATTACTGGAAAAAGGGGAAAAATAACAATAAAATTCTTGTAAAACATTAATGTAAAAGGTGCAACGTTGTCACGTCTTGGAATGTTAAAGCTAAGCAACATTAAAATGTATCACATAGTCATAGAATAATACATGTCACACGGGGCTCTACACATGAATGAATGTATAATCTCTATGTATTTGATTATTTCCACAACTGGGAGGCAATGTGGCGAGAACGTGTTAAAAAAAATATTTTTTAAAATAAAAAATATTTTCTTAAAAAAATAAGAAGAGTCTCCATCATAATTTATTTTAAGAAAATATTATTTTTTTTAAAAATAATATAATCTTTCAAACAAAAAAAATGAGTTTGAGACATGTAGGAAGGTATTAGCACTTTACAAGTTTGTTAAAAAATGGTTACTTTAAATTAATTGTATAAATTTATTTTAATTTAAAAATATTGTTTAACCCCTAAACAACAATTATTTTTATGTTAGAAGAAGAAAAATCACTTATTAAAATGTTAATGACTTGAGGAGTCCAGTTTCCGCTCTTACGTATCTGTCGTATAATGAGAAACTCAAAGTTACGTAGTTTTATTTTAATATATCATGAAATTGATTGATTAAATTAAGTTTGGTAAAAAAGTTTATTTTGAAATTAAAATTAATTTATAAAATAATATTTAGGATACAAGATAATGCAGTTATACATACAACCTACGATAAATAATATAGAAGGCGAAGAGAGATCAGATAGCTACATTGCAAATCATTAAAAAATTAACTAAAAAATTAAAAAATTATTTTTATTTGAAAATATGAAAAAAAAGTTTGAATTTATACTTAAATTTGAATATTCATATGGAGAGAAAATTTAAGATAGCATAAGTTATATATAAATCTCTTATAATTTATTAAACAATCAAAAGCAGTGTAAATTATATATCAATATTGTAAAAATTTGTATAATAAAAATAAATAATCGAATGTTTGGTTATTTATTTCATCAAAATTAAAAATATGACTTAAGAAAATTTAAAATATAAAATTAATTCTATTTAATGAAAGGAACAAATATATTTGAATTGATTAAAAAATATTATTTAATTAAAAGGTTAAACTCCGTTTGATAAATTTATATTGTATAGAACTTAAGGTAACATTGGTACACAAAGATTCTATTAATTTATAACAAAGTAAAGTAGCTACACATTAATGTTGTAAATTAATGTAAATATTATATTATTTAATATAAAATAAAATAAATTAATTAAAAAATATATTTCATATTCATTAAATAAATAAAGATAAAACATTAATATAAAATCAAATTACATTAATATTCTAAACTTATATAAAATAGTAAAAAAATGCTAAAGAAAAAACAATCCAAAAAATAAACAAATGAAATAGATACAAGAAAAAATTCAAGAATTATTATAAATTTTTTTGTTATTATATTTATATTATTTTACTTATCTTGCATAGCTTTTAGTGAAAAAAAGATAAATTTTATAAGTAAAAATAGAAGTCAAATATAATATGAAAATAAAATAAAAATAAAAAATAAAGAAAACAAAATAAATTTAAAGATATATAAAAAATATTTTCACTAAAATAAACTAAAGATAAATTTAAAAATAATCAATAAATAGATATAAATCAAGAAAAAAGGTTTAACTTTTATTTTTTATTTTTACTAAATAAGTGGAAAAAAAAAGGGACCCTAAAATAGTAAAATTATCTTAAATGGGCTATTTGACCCAAGAATTTTTAAAAAGTAAAAGAGGAAAAAGGAAAATGGTACCAAATTGATGGCATATTTGCTTCTAAAAAGATTTGCCTGTTTAAGGAGTGCTACATTTCAGCTTTCAACATGTTGTTTCGGGATGGTAGCATTCCAACTTTCAGTAGTGCACATCAAATCAACTTTTATTATAATTATAAAATATTATTAAAAAAAACTTTACTTCATTCATTTGCAAAAACTCATAATATGGTCCAACACTTGAGTTTATGAGAAAAAAAGAAAGAAAAATCTTGATGCAGTATACAAGTTTAGGATCTGAACGGTAAATGAAAATTATCAAATGGGTGAAATGATGCGATTTCTTTCTCTTCTTTTGGCTTATGATTTATTTTTCTACTCTTTGGTTCTTCCCTCTTGTTTCACTCTCTCTCACTTTATGTTTTTCTTTCTTAATATTTATCTTTTTCTTCTAAACACTTATTCTTTATTTAGTCTCTCTTTTTTTATGTCTTCTTCTCTAAAAATTTTGCTCTCTTAAAAAATTTGTGTTGCCCTTCAAAAAAGTTTTCTCCTCCCTTCCTTTTTTGAATCTCTTAATTGTGCCTTTATATTAGTTCGTTTAGGATTTTATACGAAGACAAAATTTCTGCATTTTTTCTTATTAAGTTTAAAGTTCATTGTGTGTGTGTTGGGCATAAACTTGCACATTATAAAATTTTCGTTTCTAGAAGCCAAACTTATTTTCTAAAATTTTCTATTTTCTTGTAAAAATAAATTTTTTATTCTATTTTATAAAAATTTGAGAGCAACCTAAAGAAAGAAAAAAAATGGTATTCACAATTATGTAAATAAAGTATAGAATTTTCTCTATTTAAACTTGTGAGCATTCGTTTTTTTGGAATAAATATAAATTTGTTAAGTGCTTTAATTTTTCTAAATGAGTATAAAATAAATGTAATCATTTTGTTTCCACGATTTTTTTTTTCACAATGCCAATTATTTTGATTTATTACTACAATTTTTGTTTGATTATTTTGCTAGAATTGTTTGATTATTTTTAGTCAAGTTTATATACTATTATTGCATTTGGTTAATTTATTTAAGTAGTTTAATTATTTTTTAGTTTTAATAATTTTTAAAAATGAATTAAATCTACAAATGACGAAAGTTGTCTTCTCTTATTCTTTACGAAAAGATTTTTAAACTCACCAGTGTGTCAATACTCTTACAAGCTATGAAGAAAGTGAGGTGTTATTCAATCTGCAAATGACGAGTTCTAATGAACCTCAATGTATATTTGTCTTAGTCACTTTGTAATACAACTCTTCCATGCCTTGAAATCATCTTCTTATTTTATGAAGGGAGAATGAAAAAGTTGCTTTACATAAATAGAAATTAATTAATACATATATAAGAATTAGATATCTAATTAGACTTAAAATAAATTAATTAACTTTTATTACATTCTAATATTTAAACCACTCTACATTTGTATCCTTAGGCACCTTAAAAAATTAGTATAAGACTCATCATACATCTTCTCAATGATATTTACTTGAATATCTTTTTGTTGTGAATACTAACTAAACAAATAATAAAATACATCATATTTTGTAGTACATCTTTATGCTTATCACTTATGTCAGTTTAAATCTATGTATCAATAAAAATCTTTTATGATACTAAAACTTAATTAAAGAAAAAAGTTATCCTGTTGCTTAACTAAATTATTAATGAGCACTTTATTAATAGTAAATTTAATAAATTTATTATAATAATTATTATTATTTGCATGGTCGTTAAATTTATAAAATACTTAAGATATATCATAAACTATGAGATTATATATAATAATTTTTTAATACATTATAATAATACAACAATGTTATCAAAATTTGACTCATAAATTTGAATTTATTATTTTTCTTTTGTAAGTGATGATGTTTTTTGAAAACCATTCAAGAAGATTTGTATTGTATTGTTTAATTTATATATTAGAGTTTGAGTTTATTATTTTTGGATTGATAAACTCATGTTCCTAGGGTGTTATGTGCCTGATAAACTTCTAACAAATACAAAAGTGTTTTGATTTATAGAAGTTTTCTTCAACTCACGTGTAAGTCAGTTTATCTATCTAAAATTTGGTTCATAGTTTTAGAAGACACTAAATTTAATACATTTATGCCTATGATATTAACAAAAAAAAAATTTAGAATTTTGAAATATGTGGAGATTGTTGAATATTCTTTTACATATTTCAAAAGTTTATTAGAATTAAATTTATTTTAATTAATTTTTATTTTATTTTAAGTTTGTTTAAATAAGATTTTAAGAGATATTTGAACTTAATAAATATCTATTTACTGTAATAACCCCCAACTCTTACAGTAATAAACTATGAACTATTTATTGTTCATACTCTATCTTTCTCTCTCTTACTATCCTTCTTCCTTTTATTTTATTTCTACTCTTTTCTTCAATGATTGACTTAATAATTATATTTATGCAAGTTCATAAATCTGGATATATCCCAGAAGGGTCTGTTAATTATTAGGAATTTTCTCTACTTTGAAGTATATATAATATTGAGAAAGAAGATAAAATAATAACGTAATGGATAATATAGTGGGAAAAAAAAACAATTAATACGCTTTGTTTTTCTATTAAATGAGGCTAAACAACCCGACAAACTACACTAGCATTATAGAAAATCAACCCCACAAAAAAAGAAATTTCAAAATATTCGTAAGAAAGTCAACACACTTATTATTATTACCTCTCTACACACATAACAAAAATAAATAATTTTATAGGATTGAACAAATATATTAATTTTACAAACTAGAAATGTCAACAATCTTTGACTTTATCAATTAAATCACTAATT